TTGTATTTATTAATAAATTTAAATAGATCTTATAATGAGAAAGGATTTATATTTTTTGTTAAAAAAATAAATAATAGATGAAAGTTCATTTTAGTTAGGTTTTTTTAATTATGTTTCAATATTGCGAATTAGAGTTTTTTTATTAGAAAGTTTATTATACTTTATTGAAAGATTTCTGGATATACAATATTACATATATAATCAATATAGCTTGCTTTTTTTTCTTGTTGTTTATTAATAAGAACTTTTAAATTTTTTTTAGATGTAACTCTTGAAAAAGCAACATACAATTGTCCATAAGAGAAAACAGGAGTTGAAAGATGCAAACCAATACAGTTCAATGTTTGTTCTTGAGATTTGTTAATAGTCATTGCAAAAGCAAGTTGTACTAGAAATTAACATCGTTTAAAGGTAAATAGTAAACTAATATTTAAAGATAATAAAGTAATATAAGGAATGAATGCATGAATTTCAACATGTTTTCTAGTAATTATCTCAGCTTAAATTACATGCTTTTGAAAAGAATAACAAACCAATCTTGTTCCATTACAAAGACCATCAGGTGGATAAATATTTCACAACGGTATAATTGGAGATTCTAGCTTTAATATTAATTTATAAGAAGGAAAACCTCCAATGATAAGAGAATTAAGGAACTCTATTGAATATTGATGATTAGATTCTGTTTGATTTTTAATTATGTCTGCACTAAGATATTCAACAGCTTCATCAGAAAATTGAGTTATAATAGTAGCATTAATAGCATTAACATGTTCTTTTTTTGGAGCAAATATTGCATACTTGACTAAATATTAAGAATCAAAACTTGCAGAGATTAGAGTAAATAAAATGAATCAGAGCATTTATATCTTGGGATGGCAAAATAATATCTTTAGGAAGTTGAATAATATTGCTCTCTATTCTAGCAACAGTAGGAATATGCCCTTCTTCAACTTTAAGTAGCCAATTAGCAAATTCTTCTTGTTCAGCTGCATCTAATTCATTTGCATTATGAAGGAGATGCAGGTTAATTTTCAATAGCATTACTCTAATATGCCTCTATAAAGCTGATCATTGTAAGCAAGATCCTACAATTTCTTCTCAATCACCCTTTATTACTACAGGAAGAATTTGACAAAAGTTTTCTCTAAACACTACAACTTTATCTCAAAATGGCTTTGTCTCTAATAATAGGTCTAGTGTTTTCATAAGATCTCTTAAAGTTTTATCTACAGCTTTAGGTCTATGACAATGTGCTATTAGAGCTTCATCCCAGATAATAAGACATGCATTCTGCAGAAGTAATGCCAGATCAGAACCATGTGCTATTGAACATGTAGAGTCTTCCTATATATCAAAAGGTATCTTGAACCTGGAGTGAGCAGTTTGACCATCTGATAAGAGAAGAGCAGTAATACCTGATGAAGCTACAGCAAAAACTATATATCCTTTTAAACAAACATGAGCAAGCAAGACTCTATATTATATTTTTAATTTAAGAAAATTTTATATTTAATTAGAGGTTTTAATATAATCTTTGGTTTGATTACTGATTATAAATCTTTATATACTTATATTGTGTAAATATTCCTTTGCATTTAAGAAAAGTAATTTAATATTAATAAATCATTAAAATTTTTTTTACTTGTAGAGAAATGTTTTTTCAGTTCTACCTGGACCATCTACAAAAAAAACAGTAGGTGTTTTTGTTTCTATAGTTGCAATAACTTCATCAAATATGGCTCATTGATCTACTGTTACAGTACTGTGGCCTTCTTAACAGCAGTACTATAACAACAACATGGCTACAGGGATCCTTTATAGGTTTATAGCGGTGTCCAAGAGGTAAGTATAATTCCTTAGTCTGTAAGAAACTATACCCTTCTCTCTGAGGCAGTTTGGTAAAATAAGAGATGATAGTTTATACTTTAAACAAAGATAACAAGCCTTGCCTGTAGGAATTACCCTAGAGAAGAAATGTTATATACTTTTATTAATAAAAATAAAGAGGCTATCCGTTAGGCTTCTGTACCTAAGAAATCCTTTTACAAGAGGAATACTAAGTTAAAGATAGAGGAAAAGTGGTCTGTATCTACCATTACTTGAGGAATTTAGCAGGGTTTATATATCTTTGGATTTAAGTGACAAAGCAATAAAGCGGCTAAGCAATTAAGCGACTAAGTGACAAAGCGACTAAGCAACTAAGTGACTAAGCGACGAAGTATTTAAGTGACTAAGCGACTAAGCGACTAAGCGGCACAGTAATGCACAGTAATTGGCACAGTAACTGGCACAGTAATCAGCACAGTAATTGGCACAGTAATGCACAGTAATCGGCACAGTAACTAAGTATTACATCATGTATAACAATATAAAATAATATACTAATAATAATAATAAATAATATCTAAAAATAACTAATAATAAAATAAAATAAAATAATCGTTCTATAACAGTACAAAACAAATAAATTGAAAATTACATGCAAGAATAAAAGCTCAGACTAATTTATTTGTGACCTAAACCTACTAGAGTGATCAAAGCTTATCTAGATTTGAATGTTTAGTATATAGTTTGATAATATACTATATTTGATCTATAGAATAAACCAAATATTAATTTTGCAAATTGCTTAGCTAATAGGAGAACATATGTTAGAGTAGGTATGTAGTTGATCTGAAAGTTCATAGAGGCATGAGTAAATATAGTTTCTATAAAAATATATATGTCTAGTTGCTGAGTTAAATAATATTAAAGGTTTGTTGATTAGTTGAGATTAAGATCTATTTTGTTGTTTTTTTTAGTTATAAAAATGAATATAATATATTTTCCATAATTGTTTGTATAATTGTTTATTAATATTAAGAAAAATATTAATAATAACTTGAGAGGCAGTTTTGTATAATATGTCAAAGTTTTGAACTGTTGAAATAAGTTCTTTGAGAATAAGATTAGAATAAAATATGTTAGGTAAGATGTATAAGGCATTGAGAGCTAGGTGATAAAGAATTTTATGAATTAGATCATTTTTTTGGTAAGTATCAAGATCAGATAATTTGTTAAAGATAATTTGATTAGTAGCTGTTTGAATAATTTGATTAAGCAAAAGTGTATTAGTACAAATATACTAGTAAGAGTAAGAGTTATCTAGATTATAATGAAAACAATTAGTATCTGAATATTGGTTTGGGTAAATAGTATGAAATAGTTGATATGTTGGTAACTTATTAAGAAAGATTTTGATTTTAAAGGATTTTAGTTGATTGAGTCTAAAATTAGTAATATTGTATAAAGGTTTTTGATTATAATTAAAGTAAAGCCAAGTAGATCTTTAGTTAATATTCTGATTGAAGTATGACCACTTACTATTACATTTTTGAGATGCCTATATGGCTAATATGTAGGCTTTACATATTTGCTTGATAAAATATCTTGTAGGAAGTTCTACATAATGTTGCTTCTATTAAAGAATATGATAAGGATTATACGGATTTGTGTAATTAAATAAAAGAAGTTGTGATAATAGATATTGTTTGACAAGAGAGTTTGCTTGCTCATTAAGATTATTATCTGAATAAGCTTGCACTTTGTGAAAGATAATTTGTAATTTGTGTGATTTAATAATATTAGAAAGAATATGCCAAATAGGCTATAAGTTAAATTTGAATAACTTATTAGAATGATTTAAGTAAATTTGAAGGTTGTTAAATTTGAAAATTACTGATTGAGAATCAGTAAAAATATTAACTACTGAATTGTGTAGAGCTGTAGAGATTGTAGTAATAATTGAGAATAAAAACTATACTTTTTTTTTTAAATATTAACAGTAAGGCCATGCCTATAAAAACTATACTTTCTTCTTAAATATTACATATATTCATAAAGAATTTTTTATATTATATTATTATTATAGTATAAAAATTAAGAAGGCTTTCACTTATAACAATATTAATAAATGTTACATGTTAAAACAAATTTCTTGACATTTTTACTCATTTTTAATCAGAAATAATTATATTAAATTGCTTTATAAGTTTTATTAATTTTAAAATATCTTGTATTTTAATATTATAATATTTCTCTAATAATTTTTTTTATAAATATTATATAAAATTAAGTTAATAGAAATTAAGCAAATTTTTTTTAATAAATTTTTTTAAAACTTTAAACAATGATAATTTAACTAAAACTTTATCAAATTTTATAAAACCTTTTTAAAATAAATGTTACAAATTTGTAAAATTCATTTAAAAAATTTTTTATTAAATTTGATTAAGTTTTTATTAAATTATTGTTATTTAAAATTTTAAAAAAAAAGTTTAATAAAAATAATTTGCTTGATTTCTATTAACTTATCTCTATATTTTTGTTTAGTAAAAAAACCTCATAAGATTCATAAGTAGCAAGTTGTTTATAGTTTTCTTAATTTTAACTAAGAACAGCTTTAATATTAAAGTCAGATGCATTTATTGTTACTGTAAAAGGTTTGGTTAAGTTAAAAAAAAATAGAATAAGTGCAAAAATAAGATGTAATTTAAGTTGATCAAAAGTTTCTTATTGTTTCTTATTTTATAAATAATCTTAGTTTTTATATAGAAGTTTGGTAAAAAATATAGTAATAGCAGAAAATCCTTTAACAAATTTCTAATAACAACTTGCAAGTTTAAAAAAATATTAAAGTTTAGAGATATTAGAAAAAGTAAACCAATTTTTTATAACATTAATTTTGTATGTATTAATAAAAATTTCTTTAGCAAAAATATAATGTTTCAAGTATTCAACTTTCTGTTTAAGCAATTTATATTTGCTAATTTTAGTAAAAAGATAATGTTTTCTTAAAATATTTAAAACTTGTTTCATATAATTAAAGTATTTATATTTAGTTTTACTATAAACAAAATATTATCTAAATATATAATAATAAATTAATTTAAAAATTTTCTAAAAATATATATATTTTTTTTTAAAAAAAAAAAGCAAGGTCTTGCCTCAGTTTTTTTATTGAATTTTATATATAGGTATATTATATAATATAATATAATATATATTCTTATCTATGAAAAACTAAAGCTAAGGCTAATTTATTCCTAACCTAAACTTTGCCAAGAAGAACCAAAAACATTGCTTAGTCCTGAATTGTTGCTATAGAGTTAGGTAATGCATTGTAATTTTTGAAGTTCTTTATCCAAATATTAATTCTTTTTTTAACTTGCAGGCTTTTGTGATTAATAGGTATATGAATATAGGCATTAGTGTTATCTAAGATTGTTGTGTTAGATTGGATTGGTTTATTGGATGTAGTAATGTTTAAGGATTATTGGTTTGGTATATTTTGGTTTTTAGGTATTGCTTGGCATTGTGTAATTCATATTTGGTTGTGTATTGCTTTGCTAATTTTATGCAGTATTATTTTAGTAGCTGTATGCTTTGTTTTTTGTTTATTAACTTGTTAATTATTCTGCTTTGGTGTAAAGTGATGATGCCTTTTGTAATCATGTTCTCCTGGTTGTTGTTAATATTAGATAGTGTTAATAATGAGATAAGGGTTTCCAAATTTTGTAATGTATTTAGTTGATGTTTGATAAGAATTTTTGTGATTGTGTTGTTAATAATAGAGTTGATGTTAGTGTTATTAGTATGACATTATGTTCAGTGTTCATTGGTTTCAGGGTTGGTTTTGCATCTCTGGCAGTTTGGGTTATTGTATTTCTTGGAGTTGCATTTGTAAAGTACAGTTTAGATAGTTGTTCATTGAGGAAGAATTTGATTTTGAAGGCTTTTAAATTTGAATAAGAGGAATGAGTATATTTGAAAGTAGGTTTGTCATTAAAGTTTATGAAATTATAAAAGGTTTTCTAGTCAATTTCTTTATGTATTATATTCCAAGTATTCATCCGATTTTGGATATGCCATATAGCAATATGATATGCATTGTTAATATGTTAAATAAATCTTCTGAGTACATGCTTTATGCATGCATTGTGCCAGTTTATAGTAAAAATATTATGCCTTATTGCTGTATGTTTTTGCTAAAACAATGTATA